AAAGCACAGTTTTTTAGTTGGTTGGTGGTAGGCCTGCCTGCCGTTCTGGCGGTTATGTAGCCGCCGTCGCCGCTCCGTCGCCGCTTCGTCGCCGCCCGTCGCCGGGGCCTGCCCGCCGCTCTAGCAGCTGCGTTGACGCCGTCGCCGCCTCGCCGCCGCCCGTCGTCTTGGCCCGTTTGCTGGTCTGGCGGCCACATTGCCGCCGTCGCCGCCCCGCGGCCGCCAGACACCGCCCCGACGCCGCCGCGTCGCTGCGCAAAACGTTCATTGCACGCAAGAAAATTAGCATCTACCCCTTCCCCCCCGGACTTAACGGCTCCCTCTTTTGCATCGCGATGTGCATACGATCTTGCCTCATCGTTCATCCTAAATTTGAGTTCGTACCATCCCAGGCAGGCCGGCATTGGCCCCCGGCATTGGCCCCCCTCTCATCTTTCGCAGCAAATGCAATGCGAGCAACCTCGTTTATCAAAAATCATCCGTGGTCAAAATTCCCTTGCCAAAGTGCACGCTCGCGTCGTCGCGCGCGCATGCCGAAATCTTTCAAAACCTTAGGGCCCTCACGAATTTCAGAATCGAAAGCTCCAAAAATATCAGACAATAAGAAACATATGGGTTCGCAACAAACATGTTCAGAAAAAACTTGCGCTCGGGCTCTTGCGAATGTTTCAGGAAACCGTCGCTTTTTCAACATTGCCATAACATTTTACAAAAATTACCCCAGTGCGACCCTAACTAGGAGTTGGAACCCCTAGGAAAGCAGCATTAGTAGTAACAGTAGCGCTAAGCTAAAGCTAAGCTAAAGCTAAGCTGAAGCTAAGCTAAAGCTAAGCCACAGCTAAGCTAAAGCTAAGCTAAAGCTAAGCTAAAGCTAAGCTAAAGCTAAGCTAAAGCTAAGCTAAAGCTGAGCTAAAGCTGAGCTAAAGCTGAGCTAAAGCTAAGCTAAGCTAGCTAAAGCTAAGCTAAAGCTGAGCTAAAGCTGAGCTAAAGCTAAGAAGCTAAGCTACAGCTAAGCTAAAGCTAAGTTAAAGCTAAGCTAAAGCTAAGCTAAACGCTAAGCGAAAAGCTAAGCGAAACGCTAAGCTAAAGCTAAGCTACAGCTAAGCTAAAGCTAAGCTAAAGCTAAAGCTAAAGCTAAAGCTAAAGCTAAAGCTCCCAGGGGACTGGGGGGAACCGCTCCCAGGGGACTGGGGGAACCGCCCGGGGCGTGTTCCACTGCCCGGCCCCTTTAAGCTAAGAGAGTAAGAACCCTTCTAGGCAGAGCCTAGGTAGGGAAAAAGCCTCTGGCGCGCGCGTGCCGAAATCGGTCAAAAGCCCTCGCGCGCGCGCTGTTGCAATAATCTGTTGCAAAAAAACGGCATGAAGTGCGCGCGCGCGCGTCGTCGGCACGCGTGCGGAAACCTTTTCAAAAACTGTAGGTGTCGTAGGGATTTCAAAAACGACTGCCCCAAAGAACATAGAATAACACTCCTGGTGATGCAAATTGATTTTTCAAAAAATATTGCGCCCCCGCTCCTGCGAAAACTTTTTAGACTTGTTTTTTTGCTTCAACATTTTCATTAAATTCTGCCAAACGGGCCTCTCGCGCCGCATGTCGAAATCATTCGAACGCCCTCGCGCGCGTGCTGGGGGGGCACGATCCGTGCCAGAGAATACCATGCGGGCCACTCTCGCGCGCACGTCGAACTCCTTCCATAACCTTCATGACCCACGCGAGGACGCCGTCATCGCCGTTGGCGTGATCAGCATCGGCGCAGTCACTGGCCTTGCCGTCGTCGTTGTCGCCATCGCCACCACCATCGCTACTACCATGGTCGTGTCTACCGATGCCGACGTTGCCATGATACCGCTCCCGCCCGAGTCGCCGACTCGCAGTGAATTGCCAGGTGGGATGTACCTAGCGGTCAGCGCCACAGCGGCCGCGCCTCGCGCCAGTTTAGCTGGCCGCTTCGCGCGCGAGCATGCGCGGGTGAGCGCGGCCGCAGAGATGCACCAGCCAACGCCAAGCACTCCGCGCAATCGCCGCCGCATGGGTTTTGCAAACTAAGTTGCGGGCAGGTGGGTGGGACGATTGCGCGATCAGCGGAGTTGACAATTTCAGATTCGGCAGAATGCATAATATCTTTTCTACCGGAGAATCGTTTCCACCACCGCTCCGAGGCCGGACTTGACGGTACCCCTGGGGATGCGCAGTTTCCAGACGATTTTGCCCCCTTGTTCGCTGTCAATATGAAATCATGCGATCTCAGCCCAGCGGGTATAGACATCTTTTCGTTCCTCTGAACGAAAAGAAAAACATGCGCGCACGCTCGCTCATAACAAGTGGCCGAGTTTCAAAGCATCCCTTGCCAACGAAAACTGGGCGAAATGCACGCGCAAGCTTCGTCGGGGGCGCATGCCGGAATCTTTTTGTATAGCCGAAAACTAATATCGCAAGGAATTCAACATGAAACATGTGAATTTGAAACATCACCTTCCCCAAACAAATTGTGCCGCGCGCGTTTTCTCTCTCTCTCTCTCTCTCTCTCTTTCTCTCTTTCTCTTCCTCTGTCTCTCTCTCTCTTTCTTGCGAATGTTTCAGAAATTCATTGGTTCTCCAACTTTTCCACCACATTCGACCAAAAGGGCATCTCGCGTCCGCATGTCGAAATCATTCGAGCACCCTTGCGCGCGTGTTGGGGGTGGCACGACCCCTGTCAAGTAACGCCACGGGGGCCATTCGCGCCCACTGGCCGCGCGCGCACGTCGAAATCCTTTGCGCAACCTTCATCGCAGACACGTGGACACCATGTTCGTCGTCGGCGCGATCAGCATCGGCGCCGTCATTGGCCCTGACCGTCGTCATCGGCGTCGTCGTCACAAGCACCGCTATAATCATTGCATCTGCCGTTTCGACGCTGCTTTGATACAGCGCCCGCCCAACTCGCCGACTCGCGCTGAAGCGCCCGACTAGCCGGCCGCCGCGCGAGCCTACGTGCGTTACAGCGGCCGCAGCGAGACGCCCTCCAGCGCCAAGCAGTCATCGCAATCGCCGCCGCATGGGCTGTGCAAACCAAGTTGCGGGTGGGTGGGTAGGATGATTGTTCAAGCAGTTGAGTTGACATTGCACTGTGCACAAACATGCGTTCCCCTTCAAAAAAATGCCTTTACCCACTGGGGTTATCCGTTGTTGTTTTTGTCGCATCGTTTATGTTATCCAGACCCCGCTCCCAGGCTAAATATGAATTCGTACCATCCCAGCACAGGTGGTATTGACCTCCCTCACCCGCCATCCTTTGCCAAATACATGTTGCCTGCGCACTCGGTTATCACAAACCGTAAATTCCCAAGGATCCCATGTACAACAAATGTGGCAATCGAGTTCCCTGGAAAATAGAAAACACATGGGCTTTCATCACCATGTTCGAATCATGGTTTGTGCGCGCCCTCTTGCGAGTTCTAAGAGAAGAATTGGTTTTCAGCATTTTCACCAAGCTCGACGAAAAGGGCGCGTGGCGCCCACAGCCACGAAACGTGTGAGAGGTGTGACGAAAAACGCATGACACCCACATTCGGTGGAGGTCCTTATGGGGCCACGAAACGCGTGAGGGATGTGCCGACACGGGCGTGACGCTCACATGCGAACGTCGCCATTGGGGCCTTATGTGGAGCTCCCAATGGGCCACGAAACGTGTGAGGGGTGTTCTGAAACAGGCGTGACGCCCACATGCGAACGTCGTCATTGGGGCCTTAGGGGGAGCTCCATGGGCCACGAAACGCGTGAGTGGGTGCCGAAACGGGTGTGGCGCCCACAGCCACGAAGCGTGTGAGGGGTGTGACGAAACGGGCGTGACGCCCACATTCGGTGGAGTTCCCTATGGGGCCAAGAAACGCGTGATGGGGTGTGCCGACACGGGCGTGACGCCCACATGCGAATATCGCCATTGGGGCCTCCGGTGGAGCCCCCTATGGGATACGACACGTGTGATGGGTGTGCCAGAACGGGCGCGACGCCCACATGCGAACGTCGCCACAGGGGCCTTGGCGGAGCTCCTTGGGCCACGAAATGTTTGAGGGTTGTACCGAAACGGGCGTGACGCCCACATGCGAACGTCGCTTCTGGGGCCTTCGGTGGAGCCCCCTACTAGGTCACGAAACGTGTGAGGGGTGTGCCAAAATTAACCTGCGGAGGCCAGGGGCAAGGATGTGAGAAGGGAGGAGGGCAGCGTGTGGGAGACGCGGGGCGCTGCCTCTTCAAACCGAGTACCCACCACCACAGGATGGATGGGAAGAGCAATAGCGTTACGCGCCTCGGTAACGACCGTTATCCGCCCCTTTCTCTCCGCATGTTTCGAGACGCTCGCATATGTGTGTGCCCCTTGTCTCTTGCGCCGCCATGTCGAGAGCATGAGTTCCTTTCTCGTGGCGCGCTGGCTACACACGTAGTCGGATCGCGGCCGAGGGAAGAGGGGGAATGCGCGGGCGGGGGACGGACAGATGGCGCGGTCCAGAAGCTCGTCCACGGCCTCGTGCCACAACAGGGGGGCCCGGCCAGGCCGGCGCGGCACCGTCCCTTGCTCCATGCCCCGTGGGGTGGGCTGCCCCTCGGTCGGAAGAAGCAGGTGCTTTGGGATCCCCACAGATGCCTTCCTGCTTCAAGGATCCAGTGGCTTCGCCTTTCCTGTCCTCCCAAGGGGGCGGACGGAACCCAATCTTCTTTCAACGCCTGCCCACTTCATGTTTCGACCTACTTCCTCCGACCGAGGGGCGTTCCCTTGCTCACCCTGGTGGAACTGCCGTCGGGCCTTGGCGCCTGAGCTCCACGACCGCGCACGACTGCCCCGCTCTGGCAGCGGCGACCTCGTGCATCGGTTGCTCGATTCTCCTCGCCACCAGCGTCCCTTCCCAGTCCTCATCCTGCTCCGACTCTTCGTGGCACCCTCGCCGAGCGAGAGAAGCGATGGCTGCAGGTGCTGCGCCAGTGGCTGCCAGCATCGGCGCGTGCGCCTCCAGTCGGCAGCCGCTTGCGCCCAGGATCGCAGCAGGAGGCCGTCTTCGGCGCGCCGCCGGCCGCCGACATGTATGCAGCCTCCTCCGTCGCGGGTTCTGGGCACATGCAGCGGGTCCCCACCCCCGACGAGTCGTACAATCTACGACGCTTCACCGCGGAGATGATTGAGGCCCGTCATTCGCTGCGCCACGTGGTGTGGCAGTTCCTCACGCTCAACGTCGACCTTGATCAGCGCATGGGCCTAGTATTGAGGCGTTGCGCGATCACGTACATGGCCGTCAACAGCGTGTGTGTGATTATGTTGTTCGTCGTCGACCAGAGTACACGCCCTACAGACACCACCGCAGGCGTCTATCAATTACAGCTAGTGCTGTTATGCGTCTGGACTGTCGAGTACGTGCTGCGAATCTGGAGCTGCGTTGAAAATATTGGCGAAGATGTAGCGGAACATACGCAGAAACGGCGTTGCTGCGAGCGCTTGGGGCTTGTGATCCAACCATTGATGGTATTGGATTTTCTGTCTATCGCTGCCCTGCTTGTGGACAGCATGCTCGATGAGAACAGCTTCAGAGGCATTTCATCACTCCGCCTGTTGAGCCTGGTCCGTATCGAGCGTGATTGCGAGATTATGGGGCCGGTCTTGGGCGTTGTTAAAAAGAAGAAGCAAGAATTGTTGGCGTCAATGGCGCTGGTCGTTATCCTGTTGGTCGTTGTTTCCGTTTGCATGTACTACCTCGAGGTGGAGGACAACCCCGAAAATTTCGGCAGCGTCCCCGCCACCATGTGGTGGGCGTGCATAACGATGTCAACGGTGGGCTATGGCGATGCCTACCCCGACACAGACCTCGGTAAAGTGCTGGCTTCAGCGACATGCCTCCTTGGAGCGGCCATGTTCGCGCTGCCGGCTGGCATCATCGCGTCCGGGTTCCAGGAGGAGCGCGATGAGGAGAGCGCCGCGGACACCCCACTCCTGGACCCGGGCATCGAGGAAATCCTTGCACGCAAGGTTGATGGGCCGATTTTCCACCACCGTTCCCATGGGTAGGAGAGGGAGGAGGAGGGCGAGGAAGAGGAGGAGGAGGAGGAGGGCGAGGAGGAGGAGGGCGAGGAGGAGGAGGAGGAGGAGGAAGTGGAGGAGGAGGAGGAGGAGGAGGAGGAGGTGGAGGAGGAGGAGGAGGACCTCCCCATCCTCCCTTCTCCCCCGTCCTGCCCATGGTAGTGGTGGTGGACAGCTGGCCCACCCAAAGGTGGCCTCCATCCGCCCGCGCTGCCGCGCACACACACCTCCGCCGCCGCCGCTATCGAGAGGTGCGCCGCGCGGAGAGCGCGCTGCAGGCCGGGCACGCGCCGTGGGCGCGGGCTCGGGAGCCTCGAGACGGGGGTCAATGCAAACGGGGGTCAGCCAGAGCGCCCGATCTTGCAGGATCCTGCAGGGCCAGGGTCGCATTGACCCTGGTTTGGGTGCAGGATCCTGCAGGATCTTTCGCATAGACCCGGATTTGGGAGCAGGATCTTGCAGGATCCTGTAGGATCCTGCAGGCCTGACTGACCCGGGTCTGGATTGACCCGGGTCAGGAGATCCCCGACGGGCGTGCAGAGACAGGCGCGCCGTGGTCTGGTGCGTTTTGACCAGCATCTCGAGGCGAATCCGGCCGTGGCTATGGGGGCCTTCCGGGACGCCTGGCCCAAGACGGCGAGAGCGGTTGGCAGGGTGGCGACATCGGTGCATGTCCCTCCCCTGGTCTCCTCGTCTGCTCCTGGACCCGATTGGCGGCGCGCAGGGGGGGGCACGGGGCGGGGGGCAGACTTCCTAGCAGCACCCTTGCTTCTCAGACGGCCTCCTCTGTGGATGCACAGGGCGGGCGCCTTCCAAGAAGCAGGCCTCCTTCCAAGAAGCCTCCCCCCCTCCCCCTACCCCCAGTTGCGCGCCGCCAAGCACAGGCGCCCCCTTCTGGGGCCCATCACCAGTCTCGATCCGATCGGTCCGACTCGGTTCGATGTCGGCTCCCGCCGGCCCGATCCCGTTCGACTCCGACGTGGCGTGCCGGCGATGCGGTGCGGCCAGCTGCTCGCAGGGGGCGCCGTTGTGCACCTTGGCGCAGCCGATCCGATTCGATCCCGATGCCGTGCCGATGCAGCCCAACTCGACGCACGTTCTGCTCCGAGCCGACTTCCCGATTCGATGCTGACAGGGCCTGCCCTCTGCACGGCGGCCTCGCGAGGGCGCGAAGACGGCCGCACCCGGGGGGCAGGCGGGGCGGAGAGGGAGTGAGCGGAGTCGAGCCGCTCGGTCCTCCTCCTCCTCCTCCTCCTCGTCCTCCTCGTCCTCCTCCTCCTCCTTCTCCTCATCCTCCTCCTCCTGCCCCAAATGGCAGGATACACGACATGGCCCTGAAGTTCAGAGCAGAACGGGAAGCTGAGTTACAGAGAAACGCCCTGGGGAAAGGATTGCCTGGCAACGTCCAGCCTACCCAACCCAGTCAGTAGAAGGCGTCATCTACAATGACGACACGATACGATTATCCGTCCCTCTTTCTATTACAGATGCGATGAGATGGTGGGCGGGGTATTTTGCATACAGTGCAGCATACGCACAATGTAAGACGGGTCGCGGTCAATGGGGGGAAGTCGGAACAGAGTACGAGGTACTACGAGGTTACAGGGCAGTTCGGAATCCGGTGCTATCTCAGTGGGGGGAGATGGGACCAACATATCTGAGGTACTACGTGCTTAACAGGACAGTTGGGTTGTTGGGAATACGCCATTGTTTTCATCGCTCATCCCCGGCTGCCACAGCTGATCTGGCTCAACGCTGACCAAGGTGCGCAGTGTGGCGCACTAGCGGGGTTTCTCGCAGTGTGTCGTACGTGTGGGCCATGGCTTTCACGGCCAGCAGCCAACTATGGCCCTGCGGGCGTTAAAACAAGGGGTTCCAGTACTACAAGATGGTCGAAAGTCGCACAGAGCACACGAAAAAGGAGCCAGATCACGAAAATGATCAAGGCGGCAAAAGGCAACTAATAGAAAAGAGTGTGCATCGATTGCGAGCTGGAGCTGAGGGAGGAGGAGTGGGAAGATTGGAACGACGAAGGAAGGACACTGCTTGGAGGAGACAAAGTATAGTACGAGAGAGCAGGTCTGCCGAGAACAAAAGAGGAAAGCGAACGGACCAGTGTGGGCAGTCCGAGCACTAGGACATATTAAAGCTGCTCGCGTACAACTGGCAGAAGAAGGAGGCCACCATAAAAAGACTCGCACACAAAGAAACAAGATCGCCATAGAGAAGTCAAAGAAGATGGCAAAAGCGTTGCTGGATGGTATATATATATATATATATATGAATGGAGGAATATTTACAGCCTTCAGCACAGCAGGAGAGATAATGACGGAGGCTCTTCGCTGTGCAGAAGAATACGACATCCTGCTCAACAGGCGCATGGCCATGGACGTCAATGACGAAGATGCGCTGAAGGTGGCAACACAAGAGCTGGAAAATAGAGAGAGAGGGAGAGAAAACGAACAGAGAGAGAGAGAGATGCACGAGGTGGGCGACTACATGACGGCGAAGGACAAGGGTGACAAGCAGCCTGGGTATCTCAAGGTGCTGGACTTCGTAGACGAGTGGGGCGACAACATGCAGCTGCTCAACGTATGCAGGAGGGGCACTGGATGGGGCGAACAGAGGGGGGGGGAGCCTGCTCGCGCGGGCTCGCCTTCCCGAACAAGCCGTGGTGGAGAGGCCCCAGTCCCAACTCGAGGGGTGGCGAGTGGCAGTTCTGGTGCAAGGTGGACTGGTTGCAGTTGGCGAAGGCGCAGGAGAGTCACCCAGAGGACGTGCTCTTGAAGGAATGGGTGGACAAGGTGAAGAAGACGCTCGGGGCAGACTGCGAAGCATGGACAAAGATCGGGTGCGGGAGCAAGCTCTTCCAGTTCAAGAGCGGGCCATCGATTGCGGTGGGGCTCAAGGTGGGAGCCGCATGGCGAGCATTCATTGCGGAAAGGCAACCGCAACAGCTCGACGACGCCACCGGGGAGCGCCATTACGAGTTCTTCGACGCGGCCAGGGAGATGAGCCCGGAGGAGCTATTCGAATTGATCCCACTGTCCTTCCCGATGACGCGCCGCATTGAAGGTTGCGGCCTTTTTGCAAGGCGCCCAGTGGACCAATGGGACAGGTCAGGGAAGAGGGCCTTCACTGCGCAGAGCTGGCGCGAGCTGGCGCTGAAGATTGCGAAGAACGACGAAGAGAACCTCCACGAAGTAAGGAAGGTTGCCATCAAGGGGATGAACAACGAGGACAACATGAACCCAGAGGAAGTGAAGAGGCTGAAGGGACGCCAGAAGCTACGAGACAGCACCCAGACCATGCTGGATGGCACCGAGATCTTGGCGGAAAAATTCGGCCACTCCAAGTCGGAGGAGGCGACTGCGGCCAGCTCGTCCAGCGGCCACCAGTGGGTGCACCCACAGGAGCCTGCTGATATGCCAAGAGGAAGCGTTGGCGAGGTTTCTCGGAGCGCAACCCATGACAGACAGTCTGGGCACAACCGTGCGCCTGCGTCGGCATCGCAATGGGAAGTTTTTTTGAGCACCATCAGGCACTCTACTGCAGGGTGTCGAAGGGGAAAAAGTAATCATCAGGAACCCCACCAGCGTGCTCCTCATTGGCCCTACCTTTGACCGTGGCTTCCAGTATGCTCTACTGCATGTACACTCCGAGGGGAGACCTTGGGTTATTTCAGCAGGGTACCAGATTACAGATGTGACAATACGTGGAACATCTCTCGCACGACCGAGAAGGGAGCTAAGCGAGAGAGGGGAGCGCGGAGTTAAATGTGTAGGTGCAGCAGCCCCCCAAGCAACAGTTTGGGGTCTCGGGCCTTCCGTCTCCCGTCTCTCCCCCCTCTCCCCCTCTTGAGGTCGCGTCGTCGTCTCCTCCCCCCCTTGGCTCGGGCGCCCTGCTGGGCCCGCGCCCCCCCCCGTTGGACGCGCGAAAGAGCCAACAACCGCTCCCCCCGCACTGACCCGAAGGCGCTCGTGATGTAAGGTAGCGAGTCTCTCTTACGAGGCCACGTCGGAGTTCGTTCGATCCTTGAGCTACGGGGCACGCCCCCTGCCGGCCCAAGCGAGAAGTCAGGGCAGTAGCACAACAAATCGCAAGGGGATTTTGGCACTGGCGCGCAGGTCGCCCGAATAGGTGTTCTGACGTTATACCCCCTTATGCGGATGTCCTTGTCCTTGTCCTCCTCATCCCCCCCCTCCTTCTCCCCTTCCTCCTCCTCCTCCTCCTCCCCTTCCTCCTCCTCCTCCTCCTCCTCGTCCTCCTCCTCCTCCTCCTCCTCCTCCTCCTCCTCCTCCTCCTCATCCTCCTCCTGCGGGGGGGCGCGAGGCGCGCGCCAGCTCGGCGGTGACCCCTTGGGCCAGGCGGGCCAGCGCGCCGCACCCCGCGCCGAGCGGGGCGCGGCGGCGGGTCGCCGAGATCGTCGAGGGCACGCACGAGGCCGCGTCCGTGGGGAGACAATCCGGCTGACCCATAGGGCCCAGCGAAGAGAGGGTGGTGCGGTAGATTTGGTGCAATAGGTTCTTGGGGTTGCAAGAGTTTGGGGCGAGCACTGCGTTCTGGTGCGCAAATGTATTGCAGGGCTTTCGCGCGCAATACATCAGATGCAACTCGATGCAACACAGTTCTCTGGCGCAGAACAGTTGCAAAGCAGTTGCCCCTAGTATATTGCATCACCCCTTTCAGCTGGACCCCCTTTTGGGCCAACCAAGACAAGACTTGGCATCGCTCGGACGTGTGCGTGTGTGTTTTGTTTCTTGGCGAGGGCCACCGAGGAGCATCGTGGAGCATCTGGCAACAAAAAGCGCACGAGATCGAGAAGTGCAGGGGCTAGTGGACGTCCGAATGACGGCGAGGAGATGCCGATGCCGCAGCAACTGGCGCGAGGGTCAAGGACAGCCCTGGCTTTGGGGGGGGGGGGCATGTTCCTCGTGTCTGGGCCCTCCGCCGTGCAGCGCCCCTCGTTTTGGCTATCCCCCCGTGGGGCCTCGGGCCTTCGGAGCAGGGGCCCGTGCTCTCGACCCGCGCTTTTTGTGGCCATGCCTTAAGTCGGGCGTGTCTTTCTACAGGAGGAATATTCCCAGATAGTACAACAACATACTATGGGTACGATCTCTTCGTTTATAATTTTGCTATTGTTAGGGGCATTTTTTTTCCGTATTTTGATTCTTCGCCCAAAATCTGCCTGTCGGGGGGACATGCCCGACCCAAGCCATGCCCCGACTGTACCTCCTCCCGGGCGCGCTCGGACCAGGACGTTCGGGGGCCAGGCCCGCCGTGGCACCGAGCGCCTCCCGGGGGGGGGGGGGGGGCCGGACCAGCGCGGCACCTCGGCAGGCCGCCGAGCGGAGGCTGGACGCCGCGGCGGCGGAGGTGGCGGCGCTCCGGGGGGAGCTGCGGCAGCTGGCGGCCGCGCTGGGCGGGCGCGGCCGCGGGGCGGAGGCCTGCGGGGAGGCGGCCGGCGGGGAGGCGCGGGCGGCGCCCGCGCGGTCGCGGACGGGCTAGACGCGGTCGTCTGCGGCGCCCGCGGCGCAGGGCCTCGCCGCGGCGGACACCGTCCCGGGGTCCCTCGCGGGCGCCGTCGCCGTCGCCGTGGTCATCGCATCATGCCACCCCCGCTGCTCATCCTCCCCCTCTGCCCTCCCTCCTCCCTTGTGTCTCTCCTGAGATCCAGCTGCTCCTCAGCGTCCGCCCCCCCCTTCCCCCCCCCCCTCCCTCTCCTGTCTTCTGGCAGGGGGAGGAGGAGAGGGGAAACACAGGAGGGAGCAGGGAGGAGCAGGAGGGGAGAGGAGGAGGAGGAGGAGGAGGAGGACGAGGAGGAGGAGGAGGAGGAGGAGGAGGGGGGAAGAGGGAGTTGGAGGGATGCAGGATGGAAGATAATGAACCAGGAAGAAGGAAATAGGAAGGAGGGGAGAATGATGGAGGAGCATTGGAGGGAGGATTGAGATTGATTGCAAGCCCAAGATGCATCAGCGATGCTGCAATACACCCTCCTTCCGATTTCCTGTGCCATAGTCCCTTTAAAGACTTCATTTCACTGCGGGAAGTGGCCCGTTAGAAGACAATCGTTGGAGAATATTCCATCGTGTCAAAAAGCCGTTCTTGCGACTTCGACGCCGCGAATCAACGAGACTGCTGTGTTCTGACAATCCCAAATCGTACCAGAACATCACTTCTGGATTGCAAGACCGCGAGTCAGTGTGACTGCGGCGTCCCAACAATGCTGCTGCAAACTTAGACGACGGATACGCGCGGTGCTAAGACGATAGCCACATTTTGAAAACGATCCTCCCTACATCCGCGAGGCTGCTGCAAACTTTCAAGATGAATGTGCACGGCGCGAAGACGAGAGCCAGATTTTGAAAACGACCCGCCCTCCATCCGTGAAGTTGCCGCAAACCTTAAAGAGGAGGAGGAGGAGGAGGAGGAGGAGGAACAGGAGGGGGAGGATGTCCTCTTGGGCGGTTCTGGGGGCGCTCTTGAGGGGTGGAACCGCCCCCGTGCACCGCGGGCTGGCGGCAGGACAGCTCTCCGCACGGCCCCCCCGCCTCCTGGTCAAGCAATGGTGAAGCGTCTTGACCTGCCTATGGGCCCGCCAAATAGTATTCCGAGAACCCTTCGTGGCTTGCGCGACATGTTCTTAGAGCACTACTGGCTCAGACCGTGCTATTTTGATCCATCGGTCGTATGTTCTGCGAGCATTGTTTTTGCCATTGGGACGCTCTCGATGGTCATCCGCACGTCTCGCGGCATATAGGAATGCCAGGACGGTCGGTCCCTGCTCAAGACCACTCGCCCCCAGACCTCCAGGCCCCTGCTCAAGACGACTCGGTCCCTGCTCAAGACTACTACCCTTCGCCTCCTCTTTCCTCCTCCCCCAGGTGCGGTTTGGCAACCACGCTGCTCACTGGGTTCTACCGGTCTCACCCATATCTGCTTACGTTTGCAGAAGCTGCTTCTGGCATTTCCCCTTCCGATTCCCCTGCGTCTTGAAACAAACTCGGAGACAGGTTCCTCACCCTTTTTCGCCTCGGAGCGCGCGCACGCTCCCGGAGGAGCCCCGCCTCGGCTCCCCCAGAGGTTCTCGGAAGCCCTCGGAAGTTTTTGCCCTGGGCTGGGGGAGCGGCTTCCAGCGGCTGCGCCTCGCCGCCGTCCTCCGGGGGCGCCAGAACTCAGAGGAGAAAGAGGCACCTGCATTGCGGGCCCTCGTCGCCACGGCCCATCTCTCGTCGAAGCTCTGAGTCGGATCGTATCCCGGGAGAGTCAGGGGAGCAGCGGTACCGGTCGGAGGGCACCAACTATACACCAACGCTGATCTTGGCCCAGGATCACCCTGGGCCCAGGATCGGTGTATATGCCTTCTCGCGCAAGGCAGGAGGGCGTATACACCGATCCTGGGCCCAGGGTGATCCTGGCCAGGATCGGTGTTGGTGTATAGTTGGTGCCTTCCTAACCGGTGTTCTGTTGTTCCCCTCGATCTCGCTCCGCAGGGCCGCCTGCGGCCCGGGCCATGGACCGAACGCCACTTGGCGGACATCGGGGCGCACGTGGCTGACCGGGGTCGGCCCTGACGAGGGTCAGCCCATCCCTTCCGATCCCCTCTGGCTGGCCTGGGCGCGGGAGGCACGTGGAGCCGCCCTCCCCCCTCTCCTCTGGCCCCGACTTGGTGGGCAGGGCTCGAGGCAAACCGTGTTTGTGCGATTTCGTGGACCGGTTACGTTTTGGCTTCGTTTCGCAGCAGAGGCAGAACGGAAACAGAACGACGGAACAAAAACGATAACGAAAGGAAAACGAAAAGCACTGTTCAGCTCGAGCCCTGCTGGGAGGTGCGGTGTGTGTGTGTTTGTGTGAGAGAACTCGAAACTGCAGTCGCGATGGCAGGCCCTTCCCTGCACACGGGTTCGGAGGGAGGGATGGGGGCACAGGAGCAGGGGAGGGACTCTACAGTGCCGCTTTTTATACATGCTCCGCGTGCGGACCATGTATTAAAAGTAAAGGGTTGATTAATAAATACCAGGATAAGTTGATGCATGAATTCATTCATACCCTAATCACGTATTGAGATTCCTATATGTTAAACATCCTATGTCTTAAGACCTGCCCTGTAGGCACCACTCACCACCACAGCGCTGGCCTCGCGCGCGGCCGCCGCCCGCCCGCCGCACCGGTTGGTTCGGGAGAGGGTGCAGTCAGGGCGTTGGAATAGTTGGGAGCACTCCCAGCTCAGGGGGTGAGGGGAGGCCCTGGGCAGCTCCTTGGATCCATGTCGGGGGACTGCCTCGTGGCCAGGCTTCGCCGTGCCCAGAAGAGCCCCTCTCGTTCCTCAGAGTGGAGGCCCTTGCCAAGAAGCACCTTGCTTGCCTCCAGGGTGCCCTGGGTTTCTTGGGTTTCGATGGTTGTGCAGTGGAAAGCGCGACGTTCCCACACCAAAAATCACTCAACGTTCTGGGGTATCAGGGTTGGGTTTCTTGTGGAAGGTTTCTTGTGGATCGGCCTCCACTGCGTGTGCCGTTTTTCATGATATCACGATGGCTGGATGCGGCCAGCAGGAGCTCGCGAAATCGCATCGGCTGACCAGGTTGGCGCTGACCAGGACCAGCGCGTCCCCGATTCGGCTTCTGGGTGTCAATCCTGGGCCCAGGGGCCGCCGATGATGATCTGGGGCGAGAAGGCGGCCCTTGGGAGGCGGTCGAGGGAGTTCGGAACCCGCTCCTCCTTCTGTTACCTCCTCTGTCTCCGCATCCCTCTCCTCCTTCTCCTGCTCCTCCTCCTCCTCCTCCTCCTCTTCCTCCTCCTCCTCCTCCTCCTCCTCCTCCTAGTCCTCCTCCTCCTCCTCCTCCTCCTCCTCCTCGTCCTCCTCCTCCTCCTCCTTGTCGCTATCCGTAGCCATCTTGGCTCAAGATGCCTGCACCGAGGGGGCCCCGCGCCTCCGTGACTGCAGGGATACCGCTGTCACCGCGACAGACATGACTGTTCAGCCTGGCATTTTGTCAGCCTTCACTGCGGGCATTGGGTTCCCGCACCTTCAGCCCCGCTCGCACCCTATCAGCTCTGTGCGGCACCCATGACAGCACAGAACGGCGTGGCACCATCGACTCCGTCCGAGAGGGTCGCTCGTCCTGGTGAGCTTCGTCGTGCTCCTCGTGGAACTGCTGCCCTTTCTGCAGGAAGTACGGGTGCCTCTTGCTCGCCCAACGGCCCCATCCGCATGGACGATGATGACAGCGATTTCGATGAGGACCACATCCGCAGCGTGTGTGCAGTGGTGCTCGCCGTGCACCTGGACAGAGTCAACTTCGACGTGGACGACATCGTGGGTGCATATGTCAAGAAGGCGGTCATTGCAGAGACGGCCACTATCACGGGATCCTTCGAAATGGATTTCAGCAAGTGCATAGAACAGTGCAAGGCCGATTTCGAATCATTCGACGACAAACTCGACAACACAAATCATGGGTGACACCATCCCCAAGCTCGACAACTGGTTATTTCGTATCATGGCCAGTCTTCTCCCTCGCTCCACCGGGTGTCTCTGCCTCCCCCCGGGCCCTGATCGTTGGCCTGGTTTTGCGGCCTGTTTCGGGAATCCAGACACAAACGTATTCACTAGAACGCTCACAATCAGAAATCATATTCTGAACAAGTTCGGGACGAATGCAGCCACCTAGATTTGGATCGAGTGCTTGCGGAATATTGTCCGGAATATGTTTTGTTCGTGGTGCACGGCGATTACATTTTCGCGGGGAAGACAAATTACGTTTGTCGCAGCCTTCAGAGGCTCTGAGAATTGTTCGCCCGTTGCACGCCTAAGCCCCTCGGTAGTCGCTCACACTAGATGTGTTTGTGGAGATCCTTCCTGCTCCAGCGACGCACTATGATATGCGACTGGAGGCCATTGCCGCTGGATCGATCATCGTGCTCGTGGCCTGGCTGGGTACCCAATAATGTGCGCGCGAATGCTCGTGCCGAAGGTACCCCCGAATACCTTTCGAAGGCCCAAACCAGCGACCATGCAGCCCTGGCGATATCCACGTGCCAAAGAAAGGCCCAGGAGCCTCAGGAGCGCCCCATATCTAAACACATACAGTATGTTCCTCTCGGGAGTTCAAGCACAACCCGGCTACTTTCTGGATGCAGAGGAAGCCCATCTTGCGGCAATGTGTCCGCAGCGACGCCCTGAGAGAATGGATAATTTGATGCAAGAGGCATGCAGAGACACGGGTGGACCCCCGCACACGGCCGCTGCTCGCCTGAGCGATCGCTCGGATTGTTTGACGCCCAGACGTTCATACATCAGAACGACTCCTTGGTTCACATGTTGTCATTGATGTCATCCGCGTCGAAGGGCGCGCAGCTCTCCTCGCGCACGCCGCCTCGCTACAGCGATGGAGGAACAAGGCGCAGATGAAAGCCGCACCCCTGGGCCGGGTTGCAGCGCGGGCCCGTCTTGAGAGAACGGGCGGAGAGGAATTTGGGCAGCGTGAGCGACAACAGTTACAAGCACTTGAGAGGAGGGCAAGGATCTGGGCTCCGCTCGCTCGTCGCCTTAGCCTTCGCGCGACCATCCTGGGCGGTGCGAGGGTAGAGGAGGTTAATGTTCGACATTCGGCGCAGGCCCCCCACTGGGGCCCAATCTTTGCCGGGAATCCGGGGGCGGCGAAGATGGCCAGCGCGCTGCGACCGCCTTGCGAAACCGACTTCGCAGACTGCCCGCCCCCGTCGCTGGCCACGATGAAACGCGTTGCTTCGAGCGTTAGTGACTCTGCACCTGGAGTTGATCGCTTGCGCCACGCGGCCTGGCTGGCCCGCCCGAGTGGGCCCAAGGTTTTGCATGACTTATTGCTCTGGATGATGGCAGGCAGCAGTCAGTTTCTTTTGCGCGGAGTGCGCCGCCCTTCAGGCCCCCCCCCGAATGGGCGACGCGAGCGCAGACACGAGATAGGGAGAATGCGACCGAGAAGCATCGGCTGTCCCAGTTCTGGCCCTACGAAACACGGGCATCAAGTTCAGCGCGGCGACGATGCATGCGGCGATGAGACGACCAATTCGCTCGCTTCGTTCTTGCTGATCAGCGTGGCTTTATGATAGGCAGAGATGTGTGTCTCAACTTGCTGGAGGTGGATGCGCTGGCCCGCGCCCACTCTGCGCGCCCCGAGGCGGACGGCGCGCGCCAGCTGCGCCGCGCCTCCGAATACGGCCGCGCGCCCCCGAGCCCGCCGCGAGAGTTTGTTCCCCTCGTTCCTCAGGAAATTGGATGCCGAGTAGCGCCGTAGCGTTCCGCGGCAACTCTTCACGACAGCATCGAGGGGGCCATGTCCATCCGAGGGCTCCTGGTTCGGGCGTTCTGCATCAGGTCGGGCATCATCCAGGGGCGCGCTCCTTCGGGCACGCTGTTTGCGCTTGCTCTCTGACTCCAGCGAGACTTGACCTCCGCGGGTGCTCCGAGGTCCCCATGGGGGGGGGATTGAGCGCACGTGCGCTGACGACCTGGGCGGAGCCCCGGCGGACATTCGTCTCCAGCTGCACTTGCGCCGCGCGACGGAGATCGTCGAGACCGCCGCGCACGTGAAGCTCGAGCCAGCCAAGTGCGCCCCCACCCCGGCCAGTGGTCCTTGAACGCCGCTGTCACGGTTTCCTGAACGCGCCCACCCCCGAACGGGCTCGCCCCCGAACTCTTGTACCTCGGCGCGCGGATCAGGCCCGCCGCGGAATGGATCGACTCATCGATGCCGCCTCGGGAAAAGTATCGCGCGCGCTGCTGCTGTCGGAGCTGGCGATGCTCATGCTTCCCCCTCGCTTGTCCTTCACTCTACCCGATGCGTCTCAGTCTTGAGCTGAGTGATGCAGTTCCTTCCATCGCCGAAAGAGCTGAACGACGCAGAGAAGGGCGCGTTGGCCCAGGCGTTCCGTCTCCCAATCGGGGCCCTGCGCGCGCGCAACTGGGCGCGTCTGAAAGATTGAAACGGTCTTCGCGTCTGCCGCCTGGAAGCGATGACCATTGCACCGTCGGCTCGCACTGCGACCGCGATTCCACCTGACTATGAGCGTGCGCGTCGGCGGTCGCTTAAGATGGCAGGTGCGCCGAAGTCTGCCGAGATGGGCGACTGCCGCCTGACCGTGCACTCCTGGCTGCCGCTACCCTCGGCACTGGGAGTTTCGCGTCTTCGCCGAAGTCTTGCGCGACGCCGCGACGGGCCCAGCCGGCCAAACGCACGCTGCCGCGGCCGCTCCCTGTCGGGGGAACCCCGTGAAGCCTCAGCGCCATGCGAAGATGGCCTGTCTGATGTGTCGGCCCGCTTCTGACCTCGCCGGCGCGCGCTCGAATCGACCCCCGAGGTTGGCCCGGGCGGGCTGTGTTCAATGTCATTAATTGGCCGAGCACTCAAGCCGCGCTGTAAACAGCGCCCCCCCCCGTGGGCCTGGGCCTGGCATCGCGCCGTGAGCTGAGCTCGGTTGACGCCTTATCGCCTCTTGAGTGAGCGCGGACGCATGGGCTACATTTTGGGGGTTGCGAGCACGAGCTAAATAGGCAAAAGCACGACGCGTCGCGCCCGCGACTCGCGCGGTCGATATCATCTGCTCTGGGATATAGAGATGGGGGGGCCCGACTTGCGCCGTCCCTGCTCTGGCTGCCCATCGCGCCCGCCACCCCCTCCGCCACCGCCTCGCACTTCGCCCTCGCGAATGCAGCTTTCAACCTCGACGCTGCCCGCGCTGCCCCACCGGGGCCGCACCTGGCGACGCCGCCCGGCGAGGCGGGCCGCCGCGGGCAGGTCGGGCAGGGGGCGTCGTCGTCGTCTTCGGCGTCGCGGTGCGTGTGCCCCCCCTCCTCCTCATATGCCCCCCCCCTCCTCCTCCTCTCCCCCCCCCCCTCGCCCCCCCCCTCTACCCCTTCCTACCGCGGCCATTTTGGCCCGAGGCCTTTTCGGCACGAGGTGGTCTGCGACCCTGGCCCACCTTGCCCCGCGCCCGCGGCGCGCCGCGCTCGGCGGCCCCCCGCCGCCCCGCCCCCTCGGACCCTCGCCGCCGCGGGCGCCCGCCGCGCCGCGGCGTCGGCCGCGCCCGCCCACCTGCCGGGAGGGAATGGCCGCGATGCCATCGACCTCGAGACGCCCGCGGCCGCGGGCGCCGCGGCCGCCCGCGCCCCCGGGCACCGATGCCATCCGAGCGATGACCGCTTAGATAAGCGACCACGCCACAGGGATCGCGAAGGTCGGCCTTGCGGCCCCCGCCCAGGGCTTTACATTTTCAGCTGTCAGATGAGCGCCCCGGTTTCGAACATCGGTCGGACGCGGTCGGAATCATCTCGGTGGCCAGGGGCCAGGGAGAGAAGTTCCTAGATATGACGAGCATTCCAGACGAGCCCAACCAGCTCACCCTGGATCCAGGCGCAGAGCTCCGAGACGTCATCGATTCGATCGAGTCGAAGATGAAGATCACTGGGGGGTGGGAGGCAATCGTCGATGGTATCGATTTGTCCAGATGCGGAGATGGGGGGTCGCGATGGGTCGGATCCACGCATGATGCCCCGTGTCTCGGGACCAGATCAGGCCATTGCCAGTCGTCTCGTCGTGCTCGGTTTCGAGGACATCCCTTTTGAAAATTGTCCGAAAGCAGCAGCGAGCCCAATCGTTCAAACGCGCAGCCCGACTGGATATTCACCCACAGTCCGCGCCTACTCCTTGACCCGCGAGATGAATGTCGATTTCCCGCCCACTCTTTCATTCTCAAGTTTCTTCGGCACGGGTCAGACCGCCAGCGTAGCAGCGTTCAAATAACCGACCAGCAGCCCCAGGAGCTTCGAGGCCGCCGCGCCCCCCCCCGCCAGTCGCGAGGCGCCTGCCTACCTTAGCCAGGCGCGCGCAATCCCCGCGAAAGTCTTCCTGGGCGAGCGCCCAGTTGGCGGCCGCGGCCCGGGCGGGCAAGCGCGCGGCCCCATCTCCCCGCGGCGCACTGCGACATTGGCAAAGTCTACGATTTCCAAGGCCGGGCGGCCTGAGCTGGCAGCGAGAGCCGAGGGCTGATCGGCCTTCGGCAGGAGCGGGCATTGAGGTTGCACCAGGGCGCTGTTCAGACAAATTCGCCCGCTTGTCTGAGGGGCTGGCCTGCCCGGGGAATCCGAACTTTTGATGCCCGCTGGTTTCTGATCCTAGCAGTTTCGTTTGATCTTCTCCTCTGGGCCCGGCCTGCAAGGGCCGCCCGGGCGCGCCCCGCCGGACAGCTCCGCGCAGAGCTGGGTCGCTTCGCCAGCCAACCTGCTTGCGATGGGCAAGTCGTACGGGGGTAGCTGCTCCCCGCCAAGCCACGCCAGTGGAAGGAACGTGGCTTTCTCTCCGGCTTCCACTTCCCCCCCCTGCTGCACGCGCGCGCTCTTCTCATGCATCTTGCGTCGCTTCTCGTTGCTAGCGCACGGCGCGGGCAGATGACCACCCTCGCTGGGGCGCGCGACGCGGCGCGCCCCCAGGAAACGCACGGCGCGGATGCGCGCGTTGAGTTGCTCCGCCGCGACGATCGGCGCCGGAATGCGGCCAGATAACTTCGTGCCTCGGACAGAACCATGGCGCAGTTCGAAGCCTGCGCTGAGCGGGCAGGTGTCAACGGCCACATTACCGCGTCGTTATTTGGACGGGCCTCGCCGGAATTTCCGCGCGGCGGACGCGCGCGCTGGCCCGCCGCCTCGGGCCCCGCGGGCACGCGCCGCATGCGCCCAGCGAGATGGCCTGGGCGTTTTTCCCAGGGGCGCGGCTTGCGAGGGAGCAGGCCCCAAGGCGACGTCCTCGCTGCCAACTGCGGACCATGGCCCAGACTATTTCGACCCAGCCCGCCGCGCCGCGGCGCGCGCGAGCAGGCGGCGCTCGGCGCCGCCCCCCCCGCGCCCGTTCTGAAAGAGCTACTGGTTGCCGTGAGCACAGTGGGGCATGCCGTTAGGTCATGCGCCCCGTCGAAACGCACCCCCGTTGATGCGGCGATCTCGACCCGCGCCCTTCCCCCGCCCCTCGCCCACGCTCCGACGCGGATTTCCCAACATGAACTGCAGCATGGCCCGCGCAGCAGCGCCTCTCGAGATCGACCCTGAGTTGCGCCACCCTGGGATGCTCGCACGGGCAAAAGAAATGCGCCGGCAATGTGCCCCCCTGTTCAAACGTCGACTTCGCGAGAGGTCCCCTTCTGGGGAATTGCGACATGCGGAACTACGCTCTCATGGAATTATGTGGATGGCGTCGCAGCAGGTCCTCTCCATGCATGTCTACCTGCCGCCCTCGCTCTTCTCCCCGGGCGCACTTCTTTTCCGAGCGCGAGCGACGCGCTGGTTTTGCGGGGCCGGACTCGATCGCCCAGACATCGATGGAGTCGCGGCACGCGGCGCGAGGCCGAGGAGAGGGGCCTCTGAGGATTGGAAGGAGGAGGACGCCGACAAGTCTGCGCGATTGCCTCGGATCCTGCTCCCCAGGCAAGCGCGGGCGAAGATAGGGCGCGAGCGTGGCGTCTCCAGCGTTCCCCCGGCGAGCCCAGGCAGGCTCGCCATGCGCAGTGGTCTCGGGCTTGCACGGGGAGGATCCCCGATCGGGCGCTCCGGCCCGAGCTCTCGGGCCTTGCCCGCGGTTCGCTCCGAGACGGAAGTCATGGGCCCAGAGGCTGGGCGATCTCGTGGAACGGGCTCGCTCTGAAAAGTTTTCTGGCGTTGGTTTGGGTGGAATCCCGTGCAGGCGCTGGAAAGTTGGGGTCGCGGCTGACGCGCCATTCTTGGCTCGCGAGGAAATTCGTCGTTCTTCGGGGGCAACCGCCGCCCGCGCCATTCGCGGAAGGATGCGCTTTACGCCGACAGACGCGAGCGATGGTGAGAACCCCGCTGCGCCCTGGCGCTCGCCAGACAAGACTTCGCCCGCTGACGCCGACGCGAAGCCGTTGAGCGATGCGCCCTTGATTGGCCTCCAGCGCGCTACGGGCAGAACTGTCGACCCGATTCGGCGCGGGGCGTTTGCCGGCAAGGTGTTCCTGGACAACGTTCTTTGCGCTCTTGACCCAGTCCCCCGCTGGCTCAGAGCGAAGTTGTTTGGCTGTGTTCCTCGCGCCCGCCCCTGCGCCGAGGATATTGCATTCTGTCGTCTCGACATCCTGTCCGACTTGCTAGTCGCCCTGTCTCTGGCGGCGATGCTCGACGTCGCGGTCGGATTGGGGCCGAACCTTCTGGGGTGCAAGGCGTCGGCGGCAGGAGCGCAGGCTCTGGTCGGCCCGCCGACCACCTGCCGAGGAACGGGGGCATTTTTTCAAAGTTCTGGGGCACGCAATGATTGCTCTGCACCCGGGTTCCTGGCTGGGCCTGTGGGCTCGCGAGACGGCCCAGACAAACGCCGCCCCAATGTTCGGGATGGCCGCCTGAGGGAGTCGCGGGTTGGGGCCTGGGCCCTCGACGACAAGCAGGTGTTTCCACGTTCGATGCATGTCGAAATTGGTTTTCAGTTGCAGACGTGTTCAGTTACGACTTGTCGGGAAGTCACGCAACGAAGCGTCGTGGGCGCTGACAGCGGGGCCAAGCTCTGTTTTCTCGAAGCAGATGTTCAATGGGTTGAGCTCTTGTGGCGTCGGCGGAACGCCTGACCCTGGACATCTTCCCGACGACGATGCATGTTCGGGCGATGATGTCCTGCGCCAGACTGGACTGGGCGCGGCGCGAGATTGAAGCGCTCGCAGCATCTTCGGACGACGAAAACTTCATCTTGCCCGCTCTGCCCCCCCGCAGCGGCGTCAATCGTGGATCGTGGCAGCGGCGGGCGAAGCAGGAGCGCGCTGCGCCCTGCGTCGAACCAGAGGAAAGCGACCGAACGGCCGAAGGGCCACGCAAATCCTCCGAGGATTTTGGCCACTCCCGTCGGCAAGCGGGCGAGACCCGGGCGGCTTCCGCTCGCTGACTTTCTTCAGGTTCTCGCCGGGAGGGCGCGCGCGGTAGAGACGGATGGCACGACGCGCTCCGTCACGGACTCGTCGCGCGCGTTGCGTTGGGGAGGTTGCACCTTGAGCAGGCACTACCCAACCGCCCAGAGTCTTGCATTCGGGCGTCTTGGCGATGTCTGCGATGGAAGCCTCGGGCACGACCGTCGCTGCCCCAGAGCTCATGGAGCCCTTTGTTGGTTTATTTCTAACAGGTGGCTCGCTCCCGCCCTGGTCCGAGAGGCCGAATTGTGCTGATCAGCGTTTATTGTTCAGGTGTTTTGGGGCTGCAGTTGGGCAGGTCACGCAACTTGGTTGGTTGCGCGCTGATACAGTGCATCCTCCCCGAGCATCTCCAGTCGCGCGGGATCGCAGTGTCCTGGCAGTTCCCCGGCAACCCCCCGTCTTCGGCAGCTTGCCCGTCGGCATCGGAAGCTCCAGCGAGGCACTTCGGGCCCTTCGCCGTGGGGGCCCGCTCGCGCCCCTCCCGCGCCCCCTGGCTGATTGCGCGCGTTGTCCCCTGTTTTCCCGCGGCCCCGCTAGCTCCCCCATGCCCCGCGCGCACGAGGTGCCAGCCCGCCGCCTTGCCGACCAGGTCCGCGTTGATCTCTGGCCAGAAGTAAATGTGTTGAGCTGTCTATGCTGGGCGCGCCGCGCGCATTCTGGATAATCTAGCCCGCCGGGTCCTGCTCTCTTTCTGCGCCGCGTGCTTATCTTTGCTCCTCTCGTCTCGCTTGCCGTCTCCCCCCGCCGCCTGCCGCCCGCGCGCCGCCCCGCGAGGCGGCTCTCCGCCCCGCCCCGCGGCCGCCCGCCGCGCTCCCCCGCGATCGGCCGCGCCCCTCGTTGCCGCCTGTTGGAGCTGGGGGATCCCTCGAGGAGGGCGCCCCCATCGGCCTGGCACCTGATCCGCCGGCGCGGGAGTTCTCTCAGCCCCGCGCCCTGCGATTTGCGCCGCGCCGCCGTGTCTCTCAGAAGTGTCGGCCGACCCCCCTGCGAGCGCGCCTGCCGCGCTCCAGGTTTACGACGGAGCACATGGCTGTCATGCTTCCGTTGGCGCGCCGTTTCCCGACGGCGGGTGCGCTGGCAGCCTGTTTGGGCCTTGTTTTCTGCTGGCCCCCCATCCCCCATTGTGGTTCCCCTGTGCGCCCCCTGCTGATGTTGCTGCTTCGCTGGAGCTGCTGCGTGCCACCTCCCCCGGCGCATCCCGTTGCTGCTGCCCGGCTGTGCCGGTGCCGCTGCTGGCGGCGGCGGGGGTTGGGCCGCTTTGCCTGGCTGCGCGTGCGTCGGCGGCCCCCGTCTCGACCAGGCGTGCGCCCATCCGTTCGAATGCGAGCCTTTCCTTCCGTCCCCCGTTGCTCGCGCGCCAGGGGGTCCCGAAGGTGGTCGACCGAGTGCCCTCGCCGCCCTGCCGCTGCCGCCCCGCTTCTCTCTTGCATGTGCACGGCCTCGCTGGCGCCTCCAGTGCCTGTCTGCGCTGCTGCTCCCGATCCCTGTTCGTAGGATTTGCGCGTGCGCCC